CTTTTCAATGGCCTTAATGTTTAAAGAGTGCAATGTTCTCTTGCATCCTTCTGTTAAGTGCTTTGCCGTTAAATAAAACAGCAATGACATGTGCTTTCACTGACTAATGCATGCAATCTGTTTTTTAGTGGAAACGCACAAGAGAAGCGCAGGATGCTCCCCACATAGCGTGCTGCTTTGCATGGTATCTATCCTGTTCGTGTGGCCCTTATAGCTTCTAATGTTTTAATAGCAAATAGAAAGTCCTTGTTGAAGACTATACGAACAAATTAGAGAGAGAGATCAGAGATCAAAGGAAGCGAAATAAGCACTGGTCGCTCGACTCATTCAAGCAGCTGCTTTGAGATTCAAAAAAAAAAAAAAAAAAAAAAAACGTTCTCGCCTCCCTTTCCCTTTCTCTACACAAACCGCCTCATATGTTGCTCATAATATGAAATATGATCCGCGAGATGATAGATTATAGTTCAGAAATGCTTAATCGCTGAAGGGCACATTCTGCAATTCATTATAATTTGCCCATGGTGATGATGTATGGCCCATTTAAATAAATCTGATACTCCCATAAAACGATTTCATTATTTTTTACTTTTCATTATCATCATTACCCTATTGTATCGCACGCTTAATGCTGGAGTAGTTGCATTGATTGATGCCTCTTGTATCATCGTATTAAAAGCTTACATGGCCTATTGCCAGCACAATTTTGACCTTACAGTTTAGGCATCTGGAGATTAAGGTGGGCCATCCATAGGGAGCACTGAAGATATGGAAATTCGTTTAATTTAGTTACTTTTGTTTGCGTTTCAGTGTCAGTTTGTGCGATGAAAGATCCTTCTGAATGCTGTACATTGAATTAAACTGTAATATATGTGAGTCCTTAAAGGAAACCCAACTGAGTTAACAATGTTTACGAAATAGAGGCACTTCCCTTTGGAATAACAATATATAAATATTTTCTTTTAATTTGCATAAGCCCAGATAAAGGCAATATTTTCAGCTAAAACCATTTTACCAGAAAATCAAATAAAACACTCAGTAGTGCACTAGGCAAATGTGAACCAAAACATCGTGTTCTTATTTGTTTTGTTTTTAGTCATGTGGAAAGGTCGATGGTGAATATGTATAAGAACCTAAAATAAAATAATTGCAGGTAAAACATGGCAGCTTACCTACTATGAATGTCGTACAGACACACACAGTAGTGCACATCTGCGTTTTCTTACATTGAAAGAAGGTTCCCATTCAGAGTGCAGGTGCGAAGTAGTGCGGTACATTCTGCTACATTATCTGAAGGTTGTTAGAGATCAGTGTTCACTCTGCTAAGTAAAGGGGCTGATTCTCACTAGAGAAAACTCTTTCATCCAAGAAAGTGCAATAAATCAGCCCCAACGAATAGAGGAGTGTGGTAATCTGACTTTTTAGGAGCGCATTCAATCAGGCTACCCAATTTATTAGTAATTTCTCGCTATTTCTTTTCATTTAATCCATGCCAGTAACATTTCTCTTATTCATTCCACCTCCAAACGTAATGGTGCAGGAAGTGATGTCATAACCAAGTTTGTTTCACGTGGGACAAAATTGAAACAATATGCAATCTTACTTTAAGTCCTGTTGCTGCCATTTTTACAAGTGCTGAAACTTTATGTTTGATGCTCATTTTAGAGGAAACTTCGGTTGGTACGATTTAAACATTTTATCCTGTGAGGTTTACCAAAGCAAAGTAGAGCTCATTTAGGCAGGAGTTTTCAGACAGGATCTTATATCTTTTGCATAACAGTGTTTGTGTTATAATTAAATAAGTATAGCATATATACATGTAGTTAATATGCAATTACATTAATTGTATACTGTCATAATATTTGCATTTAAAAAAATAATTTCATGTAGGCTACACTTTATTGTGAATAAATAAATAGTTTACACTGCATAATCACAGCATCATAAATATAATGTTTGGACGTAATTTTAAGTCATACACACTCTAAAAATGCTGGGTTAAATACAACCCAGTGCTGGGTGAAATATGGACAAACCCAGCGGTTGGGTTAAATGTTTAACCCAAGCTTCTGGGTAGTAACCCAACCGCTGGGTCAAAACAACCCAATTGCTGGGTTTGTCCCTATTTTACCCAGCACTGGGTTGTATTTAACCCAGCATTTTTTAGAGTGCACGGTTTAAAATAGCTTGCACAGTGTTTCGTCTATATATTATTTATTAAATATTTATTGAATCTTCCATATGCTTGCCAAGAAACTCAAAAATATTCGGAACTTAATGTTTACAATTAATTTAGTTAATGTTCAATATAACACGCATAATAACCAATGCACTTGTATGAGGGCAACGAGGTCTAAAAGTAGCCTATTCTGTTATTACTTTGCTTATTGTTATTGGCTAATTTATATATTTATTTATTTGCCTTTGCACCTGTCCTGTCATTTTGCATGCGAATTCCAGTCAGCCCTTGTCATGTAATTATGACATTAAATAGAGCGTTGAATGGTGTGGAGAGAACCGCTAATCCCCTATTAAAAGAGCTTTGTTAAATAATGCAGGACAGTTTCCGGAAGTGTGATTATCGCCTCAATTATTTCACAAAGAAATTATATTTAACACTCAAATGAGCCCTGGCTTGCATTTAACTACGTTTTTTTTATTATTATTCTTCCTTTACAGAGGCAGGCTGTTGCTTGATGAAATCAGAATGTGAATTCATAGCTAGTTCAAGTCCACCATATTGTGACAAGTGAATAAAATATAATAACATTTTTCTTAGAAGCATTTAAAAAGTTAAATGGCTGCGTCTTGTGTTTTAGTGGTCTCACTCCAGACTTGTAAGCGCTTCCTTTGTATTTGGAATATGCAATTTATTATTATTATTGATATTATAATTGTGATTTTAATAGTTGTCTTTGTTTGCACTGTGACTAGCTGCTTTAATGAGATGGTTAAGGCTGTTATTTTGGAATGGCTAAATCCTCTTATATGATCATGGTTTACAAAATAGTTCGACACTGCTGGATACAGTAGTTATATATGCCTGGTTGGCTTATCGGAAAGAGAATAGGGGAAGAGGAATCGATACTATTCAAACCCGAGAAACTGTTGAAAAAGAAACATATATTGTTATTTCCCTTTTAATCGCAACTTTGACACACGGAGGAGCGTGCGCGCTTCTCATGCTCACCAGGAGTCCAAGAGAGGCAGCTTGCCGTTAGGTTTCATATTACTCGGAGGTACTTGATTCGAGTCAAATTCGTCTCTTGTTGTTTTGTTGAAGGGAATGAAAAAACTTGAAACAAGTTTGAAAAGATTGCGCGATCAAAATGGTGACACAGCGAGGGCTTTCCATGTCATCAGCGTCGTTTAGACGACACGCAAGAATCCCCCTGATAATAAAAACACTTAAAAGGGTCCTCGCTTCAATTGAGACCAAACAATCCTATTCTCCTCGGATACACCAGCTCTAGTCTGCGCTACTGTTTGACTGTTCCCCACTGTATTTATGTTACACTATATCCAACAAATAAGTTTAAAAGTTAAACGTGCTATATCGAGACACACACATATATTTTAGCAAATCCGGCGCATAACGCTGAGGTCAACGTTTTGAAGTCACTTGAGAACGCAATGATGCAAAGAAAGTTATGAGGCTGCTCATGGTAGATTTTTGCATTTGTTATTAATTGAGCCATTTATTGATTTAACATGATACATTTGCTCGGATATGCAATGGTCATCATAAGTTGTTACTTTAGGTTATAATGAACATCGGCCCATGCATCAAGCAAAAAGTAAGACTTTTTTTTTTTTTCCACTGAACTTTTTCAGTGATCATCAAGCCAAGAGAAAAAAAATCGAACTAATAAACGAACGGATAAATATTCGTTTAAGTAAATTAAAGCGTATTTTGTAGTTCTTTTTTCTTCAGAGCAAATATCGCTTTTTTTTTTCAGACAGAACAGGATCTACAGCCCCGTCGCCCATATTATTTAAATTTGACTCGGCTTTTGCTATTGAAATCTTAACTCACCATGAAGATTCACCGTCCTGAAAAAAAAAAATGTCTCTTTGAATAAAAGCCTCTTTGAAGTCTGTGTGAAAATATGCAACTCTTTCATCAATTGCTGCCCATGTAATTGGAGTGTAAAGCTGGAGTACATTTGTGTGTATAAGCGATACAAAAGAATATAAAACAAGTTATCGCAATAGGATTCGCTAAGATAATTACAATTATTTTAAGTTGACTGGTAGCCTATTTACTATGACGTTTGAGTCATTTTAGGATTGTGTATATTTTGAACATTTAGGTGTCTTCTATTAAATGATGCCTAATTTCTATTGTCTAGAAATATCTATTTTTGTCTTACTAAAGCGTAATTTAGGAGGTCTTTTAGCTTTGCGTCATACACAATTTATTCATAATACTGACAACTTACAAGGCATTTCGGTACACATTTTAAGGTCTCTTCTGGTAATGATTTTTTTTTTTTTTCATAAAAACGGATTGCTGACAAGTTTTACGAAATCACAAAACAACCACATTGATTAATAACTAATCATAAATGAACCTTCATATCAAATACAATAACACCGTTTCCATCAAATTGGCTTGGCTGGTGAAAGCACAAAAAGAGGAAAGAGTCTACGTCTTTATGAAATTCAAATCATCCCAAATATTATTTTTCTGTACAAAGTATAGTAGCAAACATTTAAAAATTGTCGAAAGACAAAATCTTACAAAATTACTTTTCACACATAGACACTAAAACGTCATCATTTACAACTGTACAGGTTTAATAATTAAGCACTTTGGTTCAATAATACAAAAAGAAATGATTTACCGATTCAAAAATAAATTAAAAAAGATATTGAAATCAAAGCGGGATTTACAAAATAATACAGTGACATGCGTACGGTCGGTACACTATTTAGAAACATGGACACTCGGGACGTGTTTCATATGGATTGGTGGTTAGGCAGTGACATTAGCTGTCAAAGGGCCAGTGCATCCTTCAGTAAGGCAGTAACAGTGAACAAGCCTGCTCTTTGAACTGACTTACACAGGCGTCGTCAGCCTGTGGCCATTCAGTCCAAAACGGACTGTCCAAATAAGATAAGATGTCAAAGTCATTTTAGTCAATTTGCCAAAGCAATATTACAGGGCTAACTTTTTGTTAGAAGGCGTCCCTCCGTTCATGATTGCCGTACGTTGGCCCCTCTGTATGGCCCGGTGTGGATGAACCGCTGGGTGGGGTCTGAGGGCCACTGGCACCGGAGCTTTGACACACGTACCATTCGCTTAAATTGGCCGGCTGGGACGATGATGAGAGAGGCTCGGAGAGCGCAGAGGGAACTGGCTCCCTTCCCAAGTCCGATGAAGGAGAGACAAGAGATGGAGTCGATGATTCGTAACCCGAACTCGGAGGTGGAGACTTGCAGTGTACCTTCATGTGTTTTCTCAAAGAGCTGGGATGCGTGTACGATTTGTCACAACCTCTGACTTTGCAGTTGTACGGCTTATCGCTAGTGTGTACGTGGGAATGCTTTTTCCGGTCACTGCTGTTGGCGAACCGTCTGTCACAGCCGTCAAACTCGCATTTGAAAGGCTTTTCACCTGAAACAACAAAACAGTTGTGACAATGGTCAGTAGGCTACAGGTACAAGCACACCATTACATTGAGCGCATAATCAAATATACCGTGCATTAGTCTAACGCATGTCAGACAGGGTAAATCAGGTCACACGAACCCCATTATATCGTGATTATCTTTTACTGCTCCGTCTGCTCTCATAGCAGGCCCCTTGTGACTGAGACTCTCAGACAGCAATGATTTCTTTTCACAATTACAGATTATTGGGCACCCGTTCTTTAAAGCGTGTGCTCTCGCATAGTTTCATTTACCGTTGGAATGTTGAGCATGACGATCTCATAAAATACATCTGATCCACCATCTAAACTGCTATTAGGCCTGTCCCTCTGTAACCATAATAGCTGCTGGAGAAGGCAGCCAGGCAATATAAATGTTTGAATTAATTACATTTAATCAGGACCGAAGGACATAAGCTCCAGGAGTTTATAAGACTGCGTAATTGCTGCTGTCTAATTACAGTTGCTTGCTGAATATCAATTTGACCTTCAGCTGTTGGGCCGAGAAATCCAATCAACAATATTAGTGTACTACAAGAAAGCAGAAAGGAAGAGACCCTTGGGAAACCATATCCATAACCAAAGATGCAAATACCGCCCAAGCAAGAAAATAATGCGGCTGCCCCCGGGAATGTACCACATAAATAACACATAACGTTGCTTAGACATCATAACTGAATGATTCTTATCTTAGATGTAGTTACTAGTGAAACGTTAAGCAGCCTACTTGATTATCCCAACGCTATTTGCAATGAAAAAAAAAATCTTCCAGAGCCCACAAAGCATTCAAATGAATATAAATTACTATGCAAACCTAACGCATTGTATTAATGTGTTGCATAATATAGTAATACATATAACGTTTATCCTGTGAAGTAATGTTTGATTAGAACTTAGATACCGACTTGTTGCATGCGGTCAATCTGCAAGTTTTGTCAACAGTGTAAGCGTAGTTTCTTACAGTTCAGAAATATATGGAAATAACTGCAACATATGTGACCCTGGACCACAAAACCAGTCTTAAGTGTCTGTAAATATATTAAAACTTAATTTTTGATTAGTAATATGCATTGCTAATCAAAAATTACGTTTTTATATATTTACAGTAGGACATTTACAAAATATCATCGTGTAACATGATCTTTACTTAATATCCTAATGATTTTTGGCATAAAATAAAAATCAATAATTATATTGCTACAAACATACCCAAGCGACTTAAGACTGCTTTTGTGGTCCAGTCACATATTGTCTCTTGGTGCAATTAATGACAGTCGTTTTGGACAGTTTCTTTCTAGGCTAACTGGAACACACACACGAAAAAAAAAAAAAAAAAAAAACTACAGCGTAAGCAATACAAGACACTAGCCTATCTAAAATGCTATATCATGCCCCTGTAGATCGTTCAGAAGGGATAACAGAGTAATTGAACTTACAAGTGTTTGTGGTTCCCAAAGTGTAGCAAAGGAGTAGCATATAACAGTTTCCAAAGTGTCTATAAATGTGTACAACTTATAGTAATTGTAGTATAAACAGAAGATGCCCATAAACGATTTTTTTCTGGGAAAATAATTTGGGCATTTTAGCATAAAGCAATACCCTATCTCTTCATCTCTTATTTATTATTATTATTATTGTTATTTTCTGCAACCGACTAAACTGGACTCAGTAGGCCCCACACATATGGATGTGATGCAAAGCTGTAATCTGATGAAGTAAGGGATACGTTATTTTTTTACAACATACATGATTTAGAAAAAGCAAGTAAATTAAAAACAGTAACACTCCACAGTGCTCAACCTTTATGTCCCCCCTCTCTCTTTTTTAAAACACGACTTATTGTTAAAAATAATACTGGTATATTATATTAGCGTAAACTAAATACATGTTACCTATTAAAATTCATAAAATAACAGTGACAATAATGATAATGGTGCCAGTGTTCTGCGAAAATCCTTTCCACCATAGATAAGCCACTGCATGAATTATCTCTCGATAAAACCTCTTAAAAGCCAGCCTACTTAAAAGCGGATTTTTAGCCAAACTCTGCCTCTATTTAGCTTGCAAGCTAGCTCACGTCATTAATAGACTAGTTGCTGTGCATTGATTCGTTTACACTTCAGCACTGCTGTATATAGTAACTGAAGAGTTATGAGCCGCTAGCATTTAACTGAATTGTCCTAAGGGATGAGAAATTAAGTCACTGACCTGTGTGTGTTCTCTTGTGTATTTTCAAGTTTTCCGATCTGGCAAATACTTTTCCACAGCCGGGGAACGGACAAGGAAACGGTTTCTCTCCGGTGTGCACTCTGATGTGATTCACAAGTTTGTACTTTGCTTTAAATGGCTTTCCCTCTCGTGGACATTCTTCCCAAAAACAGATATGGTTCCCTTGATCCGGTCCTCCGACGTGCTCCACAGTCACATGCGTCACTAGTTCGTGCATGGTGCTGTAAGTTTTGGAGCAACGTTTTTTCGCCGAGTGCTCTGGCTCCAGCCACTTGCAGATGAGCTCTTGCTTTATCGGCTGCCTCATGTAACGGAAAAAAGCGCCAGCTCCGTGGTGGTGATGTGCGCTGAGATTCATGTTCAGATTGAGCCCGCCGTATCCGTGCAGAGAAGAAGCAGCAAACGGGTCTGCCCTGGAGCTCGCTACTTGACTCAAATGATCAGACCGAACGTACATTTCGGCAGGTATTCCTAACCTTATTTGTCCGTTCAAGGCTTGGCCACCTGGTGCTCCGGTAGATGGCTGCTCGTGATGAAGTCCAGGGAAGAGAGTATGGTTCCCAGGGTCGGGGTGATGACCATAGTGTCCCGGATAGCTACCTGTTGTTGAGACAAACATTCCGTGGTGAGAGGCTGAACCAGAAGTCTGATCGGTCAGCACGGGCATGGCTTGAGCTGTCAAATCTCGGCGAATGAGGAAGTCCCTACCTGCGGATAGCGCTTGGGCCGTGTGAGACATAGAGTACGGGACCGTTGCCGCCTGCACCGGGCCAAAAGCTCCCGTTTGACTGGAGACCACTTCACTGTGGCCTGCAATATGATGATTGTGGTGGTGATGGTGGTGGGGATAATGATGGGTTGGGCTGATTTTGAGGGCCGCGGAGTGCCCCATGTGTTCTGGCCCGAATGGACTCGGCCCCAGGCGGGGTTCCGCAGTCATCTCCCCAGGGTGCGAGTGAGCCATTGAGTATGGATGGCTGCTGAACCCCGGGAAGCCTGTCACGCTCTGAGGGGTATGGTGGTGATGATGGTGATGGTGGTGAGCCCCTGCCAAGTCAACTAATCTCAGCGGCGTGTTCCGTTTGGAAAACGCGGGGTCCATCACAGGGCTTCCCAAAGCATCCACGCTCATTACTCCTAATTTTAGAATAACTTGACAGCAGGAAAAATAATAATGATGATGACAAATATATTTTAATCGCTTTGAAGAATACAGAAGAAAAAAAAAAAAAAACTTCCCCTAAAGTTTAGTTGCTATCTCAGTGCCTACGTGGAATCCCATTCGGTTGAGAGGCAGCAGCAGGACGCTTTGATATACTGAATAGAGATTCATGGTAGGCGCTGCAGCCCGTAGAGCCAAACAATCACCGAGCGCTCTAATTGGTCAGAGCTCTGTGATTGACGTCACTCGTGACAGTTTCCAATGCGAAGAAAAATGTTTTAGTGACAGCAAACAGAGAGCGCGCATGCGCCGAGCCTCGGGCAGCGGATGAAGAAAAAAAAACATGGTTTTTGTTATGCAAAGGTTATTGTACTTGCAACTGCAATCCCGAAGTTACATCGACGCAATGCAACCTTTCTTTATATCACAGCTGTGGAAAATCTGCGACTGCGCTTTAGCAGCTTACCTCAATAAGTAGGCTAAACCGGATAGAGTGGACTTGCATGAAAAAAAAAATGCGACATGGGTTCTGTCTATAGTAATCCGTTAAAGAGAACATTTGAAGAAGCTCCATAATAAACATCGACAACGGTGGTTAGTACAAAGTTAAAGTTTGCTGTTGCATGCTGCTTGCCCAGACTCTGTTTTCTCTGTATTTAACATTTTTGTCAAAAAAAAAAAAGTTTTCACACCTCCTTTTTTTCTCTAACGGTGCTTATACGTCGTCATGGGATCACTGTCTTGTGAAAAGCGCGAAGGTCGCCTATTGTCCAGAGGAGAAAAAAGTAACGCAAAAGACCTGTTGTTATGATCGGGGGTAATTTTCGGCCTCAGTTGTTCAGCGGCGGCGGATCATGCACACAGGCGGTGGTGCTTCATCAAAAGTGTACAGGGCAGCAAAGAATAGCTAGAATATCTGTTAAATACAAATACTAATACAGACCTAATCCAGTCTTTGCGATGCGTAAAAGTTTATCTCACAGATTACCCACCGTCATTTAATAAATACACTGTTGACAGTGCACCTGTTACGAATACAGTAACCTCATGAATCAATAACCGGCTGTTGCGTTTATCTTGTAGGCTGTGTAGAAAGCTTGAAAGCAAATGGACAGTCCCCACCTCATGAAAACAGGCTCAAGAGTTCCAGTTACATTCTTTGAACTTTGCCCAGAAGAAGGCATTGCACTCGAATGCTAATATTTCAAGAAATAAAATTGACCTTGCAGATGTGGTCGGGGAATGTACATCTAAGTGGTGTTTTGCATGTCCACAAGGACTAACCTAAGTTAAAAGGTCTTAACCACAACAATTAACAGCAGGCTAGATATATCTTACAAAATAAATGAATGCTTTTTTTTTTTTTTTGTGCTAGGAATGAATAATGTTTTAAAAATGAATTGCGTTGCAAAGTTTTGTGAAACTGTTTTATGAAGAGGAAACATATAACAATTAAATTATAAACATAAAATTATAGTGTGGTACTTAAAACTCATTGAACTTGTGAATAAAAGTTTAATGCTATTGTTTGTTTCTTCGTATGGCATTGGGTGTAATTTTCCAATAAGCAATGAAATAAGCCATAAACAGGCTCTGTGTCAAAGCGGTTTAAATCATCGTGAGGAGGTGAAATAAGTTTTGGTAAATGGAATGCTTCATCCTTGCACAATAAAAGTTTAATACATAATTCCAATATATAATTATTACCGTAATTGCAACTGTTTTGACGCTCTAACTTAATCAACCCAGCCGGACACATAGGAAGTGTTGGGTGAACTGACCTAAAAAGATCAGACAGTTATAGTATTAGATACATGTCAAAAACCATATGTTCAATCTCTACTGGAATTAGGCGGATTATACGTGAGAGTATGGAGACAACATTTAGATTGTATTAGTGCTCATGTGTCTCGAAACAGCCGTGACATAACACTTTTTTTTTTTTTGGTAGTAGATGTGTGATTGCAAGACTGCAAAATCGCATTTCACGGAATCATTACTTCATATGAAAGCCATTGTGATCGTTTTATGTGCATGTATTATGATCACGTGTGAATGCACAACTTAGTCCAAAATCCACAATTGCAATCTATTACAATAATAAAAGCGTGACCTTAGACATTTTTTTCAACTTTAGGCGACTTTATTTGAATCAGGGTTAAGACGCATTCAATTATTTATGCAAATGAATTGGTATTCCTTTGAGAAAGGTCATGAATTGATCTGTCAGACGTCTAGTGACAAAACCACACCATCCGTGTCATAAATAAGTAAACATTGTGTGAACAACGACGAATACTGAAGATGTTCAGGGCTCAGGGTCGAATGGGTCGCAGCTGCATTCTTTTGGCATTTCTCTAGCACGTAACGAAAAGTTTATTCTCAGCTACTTTTTGCTGGGTAGAGGGGGACATTATTATAGTATACATGTGTATATATATATATATATATATATATATATATATATATATTATCGACAAGATACAAAACGAGTTTAATTTGACAATAAAAAAGAATGGAAAATAACACATTTTGGAATGAAAGTAAGCTTTTGACCAAAATCATTGACTTTAATTAAAGATTGCAATGCAGAAAAAAGGCCATTTCTAAGAAAAACTTAAATACATTAAAATTTATATTTAAATAAATAGATTTAACAGATAGTTAAAATAAAGTC